TTGCTCCCAGCTTCTGGCAGGCCCAGGTATTTCTTGGTTTGTGGCAACATAACTCTATTCTGTTTCCCTCTTCACATGACCATCTTCCCTCTATCTTCATGCTGACCTTCTACTCTATCTTTTGTCTTTTTTATAAGGACACCAGAAGGAGTGCTGGTGGCACAGTGCCTAAGGCATTTGACTGCTAACCAGAAGGTTGGTGGTTGAAACCCACGAGCCACTCAGTGGGAGGAAGACGGGTCAATCTACTTCTGTAAGACTTACTTCCTTGGAAACCCAACAGGGGTAGCTATGAGATGGAATCTACTTGATGGCAGTGAGAAGGATATCTGAGTCATGAAGAGATTAAGATCAACCCTAATGATCTCATCTTAACTAATCACATCTGCAATGACCCTATTTCCAATAAATATTATATTCACTCAAAACAACAATGAGATACAATCTTGTTCCAGCACTAGTAGCAAAGTTCAACGAGACAGAAAATAACAAATGCTGGCGAGGATATGGAGAGATTGGGACTCTCATACACTGCTGTTGGGACTGTAAAATGATACAATCATTGTGGAAAGCAGTATGGCAATTACTTCAAAAGTTGGAACTAGAAATACCATTTGACCCAGCTATTCCATTACTAGGTATATATCCTGAAGAAGTGAGAGCCATGACAAGAACAGATATATGCACACCCATGTTCATCACAGCACTATTTACGATAGCCAAAAGATGGAAACAGCCTAGGTGTCCATCAACTGAGGAATGGATATCCAAACAATGGAATACTATGCAATCCTAAAGAATAATGTAGAATCTGCAAAACACCGCATAATGTGGATGAACTTGGAGGACATTATACTGAGTGAAATAAGTCAATCACAAAAGGACAAATACTGTATTAGTCCATTACTGTAAAAGTTAAGGAAACATTTATCTATGGAAGGATGTTTTCTTTGTTGGTTACCAGGGGTGGGAGGGAAAGGGAGGGAATACTGTTAGATAGATAGAGATAAGTTTTGATTTGGGTGAAGAGAAGGGCAATGTACCAAAAGTGAGTGATCAATATAGTGGCACTGAGAAGAGAAAGACATAGAGAGGTACGTGGGAAGTACAGACAACAATGATGAACCCTTTTCTGCATATAGTACGGCGTGGTCAGTGAAGGCAAACACAGGTATATGGGTAGATAGATGGGTGGACAGGCTGAAATATCAGGTATGTCTATGAAGTGGGGAGTGCACTCAAGAACATGTATAGGGTTGGCAGACAATGGTCCTATAACTTTATGTGTATGATCTGAATTCCCAGGTATATAATGGAGCTGACAAGGGGCAAGGTTATAGTCACTGCTTAGTCACAGCCAGCTACCCAGAGGGACTGAGCAGTTGAACCTGTGGGCTCGGGACCATAGTCGCAGAGGACATCAAGCTCAATTGGCATAACACACTACACAAAACATTGTTCCACCTCCTACTGTGGCGAGTAGTGACTGGGATCTTAAAAGCTTGCAAGCTACTATCTAGATGCAATGATGGGTCTCTCCTCGTCCAGAGCCAACAAGAATGAAGAAAACCAAAAATTCATGGCAACAATTAGTCCTAGTGACTGGTACACCATCCGATCTGCAGCCTATATGACTATGAGACCAGAACTAGATGGTGCCCGGCTACTACTATCAACCACTTGGAAGAGGATCTATGTAGGAGATCCTGGATAGACAGCGAGAACGATGTGGAACAAAACTCAAAATCATTTGGGGAAAAAAAAAAAAAAAAAAAGGAGGGGGGGGACCAGGTTTGCTGGCCCAATAGAGCCTGGTGAAACCAATGAGACTATGGCCCCTAGCTGCCTATCAGGTCTGGAATTGAACACATGCCTGTGGCTTCCAGCCAAACAAAAGACAGGCATATGAGTTGAACATTTACCTAAGGTAGATACACTCCTTGGAGAGAACAATCATGGGAGAAAGAAGGGCTGCTTATGCACAGGGAGGCAGTTCAGGGGGCAGGAGTGCATGGAGGGATGGACACAGGGAAGAGGTAACTATGGGGAGGAAGTGGGAGGGGAGCTGTTGCATTGTGGTAAATTGTGGTCAATGTCATGAGACAAAGTGTACGTGAACTGCTGTATGGAAAGTGTATTTGCTCTGTAAACTTTCACCCAAATCACAAAGAAAGAAAAAAAAAAAAAAACATTATATTCACAAGTACAGAGATAGGGATTCAACATATATTTTTGGGAGACAAAATTCAACTCATGATATATTCTGACCTCCTAAGTGCACAGAGTATACTCTTTATACGTTATCCTACACTAGTTTAAAAAATAAGAAACTTTTAAAAATGAATCTACAATCAAATTACCTTTTATATAACTCACCTCAAAGAGATAGATTTATTACTACCTAAAATCCGTAAGTCCTGCTTTATACTCTAGATCCCAGTATCTACTTTTATTAGATTACATCATATTTATATTCAATCATCTTTCCAGCTATTTGGAATTCTGATTCAGTTCTTAAATATACGTTACAGCTTCATGTAATTTACAAAACTGATAGACTGCTCTCCATTATTTTTAAAACTTGAAACAAGACAAAGTTCAATGGTTCAAATGTCTCATTAGATACAACCACTCTTTTGCACTATTAATATCATTCAGTTCACATTTATCCATCTTGTTTACAAGGGTATTTCTTAAAATACTTTTCTGAAAACCAGTGTACATACAGTTCACGGGTTATAAATGTCCAATGTCCAAATTACAAATTAAGTATAACTCAGTCACCCCTGCAAAGCCCACTATATTTAAAATCTGAGGTACAGACAATGGTTTGTAATAACAAACAGGCACTACTTTGTCATGTCTATCCAAAGATCATATAATTATTGTACAGTTATGTTAAATATTTTAGTGTGTCTGTGTTTCTTTAATGTTTCTTATGCATAGAAAAGGACATTACATACTAAGGTAAACATCTGACTAACTGACATTAGATACCAACTGTACCTAACCATTCTGACTTATATACAAAAAAATTTGACTTAGGAATGGGACTCGTTCATAATCTGGGGACTGCCTGTACTATGTATGTAACACTCACCCTATATACCACATTAGTAACATGTCAAAAAAATGGAATGGTATCAGGATTACCCCCAGGATTGGAAGCCAAGAAGAGAAATGTTTTTAACATACTTTTATATGACTGTTCTATTTATCATGTATATGATACTTTCATTTAAGAAAAAAAATTAAAATCTTAAAGGAAATACAGTCTGATCAGACTTACTCTCTGCAAACCCAGGCTGGGTCAACAATAATAATTTAAAGAGGAATAATTTAAAGGTTAATTCACACTTGACTTTTTTCCTTATAAATCTCATTCTCTCAATAAAGGGATGTAGTTCATTGGGACAGAAGACCTGAAATCATTTAAACCAGCAAGTATTCTCTTAAAATCTCTTTATCCATCTTAGGTTTTAATTTCTCTTACCAAAGGTCATTCTGGCCTTCTCAGTCTAACAAACCTCCTCCTTAACAGAGAACAGGAAGCAAAATAATAGATTTATTGAAAATGAAGATAAGAGAAAGAATACTATGAAGACCTAGGCAGAAAACCATGGAAAGTAACAAGCTGATCTAAAACTTCTCCATTACAACTTAAAAAATTGATTAACTACAGTTTTTGTATAGAAGAAAATCCATTAAACTTCTACTGTTATTTATACATATTCTTCACCTACACAAATAGAATGCTATAGTATAGCAGTGGTCAAGCTATTTCATGCCACTCTCCTTCACATATTTACATTAACTATCATGATTAGCCACCTAATAATGTAACAAAGCAAAGGAAAGGCATCAACCAAAAAAACAAAACAAAAAAACTTTTCATTTTTTAACATATGGATTCCAGACAAAAAAAAATTTTTTTAATCATGTAATGAATATATTTAAAAGGTAAGCACACCATAAAACTTAACCCAAATAATTTGTTTTTATTTATACACAATAAAGTGACATGGCTAAATAATGCTATGTCAAAAGTTAGATTCAGTTTTAAAATCAGACCAAATTGCCCAAACCGATATTTAAACACTGGTAACAATAGCTTAAGGAGTTCTGCTAGCGCAGTGGTTAAGGCATTTAGCTGCTAACCAAAAGGTCGGTGGTTCAAACCCACAGGCCATTCCACAGAACAAAGATAGAAAAGCCTGCTTCCATAAATATTTACAGCCTTGGAAACCTAATGTGGGTCACTATGAGTCAGAATTGACTCAATGGCAGTCAAGTTTGGTTTTCTGGTTTAACAACAGCTTTAAAGGAGCCCTTGTTGGTGCAACAGTTAAGCACTCGGCTGCTAACTGATAGGTTGCTGGTTCAAATCCACCAGCCACTCCGTGGGAGAAAAGACCTAGCAATGTCTTCCTAAAGACTGTTGTTGTTGTTCTTGTTGTTATGTGCCATCGAGTCAGCCCTGACTCATAGCGACCCCTCCTTGGGTTTCCAAGGCAGTATCACTACGGAAGTAGGATTGCCCAACCTTCCTTCCAAGGAGTGGCTGGTGGGTTTGAACCACCAGCCGTCTGGTTAGCAGGCAAGTGTCTTAGCCACCATGCTACCAGAGCTCCCTTAGACTGTTGTTGTTGTTGTTATGTGCCGTCGAGTCGGCCCCGACTCATAGCGACCCCTCCTTGGGTTTCCGAGGCAGTATCACTACGGAAGTAGGATTGCCCAACCTTCCTTCCGAGGAGTGGCTGGTGGGTTTGAACCGCCAGCCATCTGATTAGCAGGCAAGTGTCTTAGCCACCATGCTACCAGAGCTCCCTTAGACTACAGCCTAGGAAATCCTAGGAGCCAGTTCTACTCTATCATACAGGGCCCCTGTAAATTGGAATCAACTCAAAGGCAGACAACAGCTGTATTAATCTTTGAAAGGCTACTACTTTGCCCCTTTTGAGAATGGATTGTTTTTAAAAGCACAAAACAGAGTAACTTACAGTTCATCTCGTTGTCTCTGGGACAGCACCATTTTGGCTGTAATGTCAAGCTTATCTGATTTAGTGGTATCTCCCTCCTTTGGGAACTTAAAAAGTTTTGTGATCCCTGGATTTACACAGTTAAATATGCCACCAAGTGGCTTCCACGCAGGGGAAAATGATCCTTTTACAAGTGAATCCAACCAGAAATCGGGAGATATTCAACAAGTAAGGTTCATTCCACCTAAGGAAAAAAAGAAAAGAAAGATTATTTCTTTCACTTAAAATTTAAATTATTTCTAAACTATTATTTGCAGTCAACACTTTAAGGGATGAGGTTTACAGTGATGCTAATAAAATATTAGATGATATTTTCAATCTACTGTGAAAATCAATGCCAAAATACATATTTTACTTGAATTATTTTTAAGTTCACTGAGCCAAACAGCACTATTTTTAAATTTAATACGTCTTCATCCATTCCCAACCACGTCACAGGGCTAGATACAGTGGTTATCAATTTTATTACACTTCATATAACAAATACTTCTCTAGAAGACCACAAATCTTCCAGATTTATATTTGATAAAATCAAATTTTCTAATTTACAAAACAAGTATAACCAGAAAAAAGTAAAACAGATAAAGACGTCACAAACTGTACACAAACCAAACAGTGATGATCATAACTGAAGTAAGCCTCAAGGCTGAATGTCAGCCACCAATAACGGCTGACATCATTTGTAATGTAAATATCTACTTAGTAATCTCATGCCCTCTTAACCAATGCACTTAATCAAGAAACCAATTTAATATCATTTTCAATTTATTCTGTGTCCCTTAAGCATGTGTTATAAAAACAAGACACATAATGGACTACTTTAAATTCTATGTCCTCACAAAGTTATCCACTTCTCTAACATAATTTTTGGATATTAGTTAACAGTCTTTCAGAGCTCTTTGTAACAAAACCACCAAACCAAACACACTGCTGTCAAGTTGATTCCGACTCATAGCGACCCCCACTGGGTTTCTGAGGTGTTAAATCTTTACGGAAGTAGACTGCTTAGTCTTTCTTCTGCGAAGTGGCTGGTGAGTTTGAACCACCAACCTTTATGGTTAGCAGTCATAAACCTTAGGCAACTGTGCTACCAGACCTCCTTCTTTTTAAAACTAGGACCACATAAAATCAATTTCTATACAGTATCTAGGAGCTCTGGTGGCATAGTGCCTAAGGCATTTGACTGCTAACCAGAAGGCTGGCGGTTCAAACCCACCAGCCACTCCTGGGAAAGAAAGTTGAGTGATCTACTTCCGTGGTGATACCACCTCGGAAACCCAAGAAGGGGTCCCTATGAGTCAGATCTAATTCGATGGCAGTGAGTTTGGTTTTTTTTGGTTTTATACAATATCTAAAAGGCATTGCTGTCAAATCAATGACAGCAAATGGAGATAAAAGTGGGATAAATAATTACTGTATTTCTTAATCATTCTTTAAATTTCTTATTTTACAAAAAAAGGGAGGGAGAAGAGTGCTCAGTTTGTCTTATCACACTGTGCAGAATACAGCCAGCTACAATTTCCACTAGATTCCAGAAGTATTTTTTTTATAAAAAGTTGCTGTTGAGTCCATTCTGACTCATAGCGACCCTACAGACCAGAGCAGAACTGCTCCACAGGCCTTTCCAAGACTAACTCTTTACAGAAGCAGATTGTCTCATGTTTCTTCCACAGAGTGGATTTCTGGCTTAGAATTAAATTGAAAAGAAAATTCCTATGTGTGAAGAGATGAGGAAAATTATGATTAATTTTATTTTAGATATGTTGATTCCAAGGTGTCTGTGACATTTCCTGTATGAAAATGTACAAACAAATCCGCTCTGAAGAGAATCAACATACAAAAAGGAGGTTTGGTAGGTTTGAATTGTTGCTGTCAGGTGCTGTCAAGCTGGCTCCAACTCATGGTGACAACCCTTCGTACAACAGAACTGAACACTGCACAGTCAGTCCTGCACCATTCTCAAAATTTTTGCTATGATTGAGCCCACTGATTCAGCCACTGTGTTGTTCCACCTCATTGAGGGTCTTCCCTCTTTTTGCTGACCTTCCACTTTAACAAGCATGATACCCTTTTCCAGGGACTGGTCCCTTCTGACAACATGACTGTCTTATAGATGGTTAACTGACACTATGACAATGATGCGATGACTCATGGAGAATTTGTAGAAAGCAAGAAATGCAGAAGACCTAGGCTTGGGCTAGAATCAGGCAAAGAGCATCAACACAGGGAACAGAAGAGTTCACAACTGAGGCTGAGAAAAGCAGTGAAACAGGTAAATATGAACAAAACAAAGAAACAAACCAAACTCACTGAAAAAAATGAGAAGCCAAGGGAGTATTTCAAGAAGGAGCTCAGGTAATCAACAGTACCCAAGGCTGTCGAACTATTAAGCAAACTAAGGTTTGAATGGTCCCATGGGACATCAAGCTCAACTGGTATAACATACTACACAAAAACATTGCTTCATATCCTACTTTGGCAAGTAGTGACTGGGATCTTAAAAGCCTGCAAGTGGCCATCTAGATGCAACAATGGGTCTCTCCTCATCCAGAGCAAAGAAAAATGAAGAAAACCAAAGATGCATGGAAACAATTAGTTCAAGGGAGTGGCACACCATGTGATCCTCAACCTATATGACTACAAGACTAGAAGAACTAGATGGTGTCCAGCTACCACTGTCAATCACTCAGAGGGGAATCTATGGAGGAGATCCTGGATAGAGAGGAGAACAATGTGGGCCAAACTCAAAATCATTAAAAAAAAAGGTCAGGTTTGCTGATCTGGTAGAGCCCGGTGAAACCTCTGAGACTACAGCCCCTGGCTGCCCTTCAGGTCTGGAACTGAAGCCACTCCTCTGACTTCCAATCAAACAAAAGACAGGCATACGAGCTGAACATTTACATTAGGTAGATACACTCCTTGGAGAGATCAATCATGGAAGAATAGAAGAGCTGTGTATTCACAGAGAGATAGCTCAGGGGGCAAGAGTACATGGGAGGGGAGGACACAGGGAAGAGATGGCTATGGGGAAGGAGTGAGAGGAGAACTGCTGCATTGTGCGAGATTACAGTCAATGTCATGAGGCAAAGTGTATGTGAACTGCTGTATGAAAGATACATTTGCTCTGTAAAGTTTCACCCAAATCACAATTAAAAAATAAAAAAAGAATTACAGCCTTGAGGGGGGAGAAAAAGGTTTGAAAAGGATCCTCTGTATTCAGCATGGTTGGTAAGAATGGTTTCAACAAAACGGTAGGGACAGTGGTTATCATGCACAAACAAGATCTAAAGGGAATGATGTATGCAAGAAGATGAAGTAGAAATGGTACCATAAACACATATTTTAAGAACTGAGGTTCTGCGTAGTGGTGGTTTGTCTGTCAACTTGGATAGGCCTGGCTGAGTGGCTGGGCAGCTGGATGTAGTATTCCCACGATGAGACTGGAAATCAACTCCATGGTGGAATCTACTGGGAGCAGCTGAGTAGCTGCCTTTGGGTATGTGGTCTGCTTCCCGTATATAAACAGCAGCTTTGGGAATGGTCTGTGGCTTATGGCACGCTTGGACCCTGCATGTAGCTGTGTCATTGTTCAGCAGCCTGCCATGCTCTGCCGACCTTGGGACTTGCAATGGACTTGAATTAATGGCCTGCCATGTGATTTAGTATAAACATCGGGACTGTGCCTTTTTGCTTGTCAACCTTGGGTTTGTCAGTCTCAGCAGCTAGCAACTGTCTGAGTGAAGAAAAGCCTCTAGCTCCAGTGGGCCGCAAAAAGGAGGCAGAGCTCAACCCCAAGGTTGGAGGCTTTCACACAGCCCCTGGAGCCTGGCACTTGCAACTCAGACTTCTAGCTTCCTGAACTGTAAGAGAATCAACTCCTGTCTGTTAAAGCCATCCCATTTGTGGCATATTCTTATCAGAGCGGCACTAGGGAACCAAAACACTGAAACACTGGAGAAGGGAGAAGTAGATGGAAATGTCAAAAAGCAGTTTTTGTGGTGGTTGTTTTTCTCAAGCAAGTGAGGGAACATGCTTAAACACTGATGAAGAAAAAAAAGACAAAGGAGGAATAGAGAATTTTAATACCACTATTTTCAGAGCCTAAGCCAATAGCTGCTAACGCAGGAGAAACCAGACACAATTTATCCCCTGATGGAATAACATTATAGGAGCCATGAAGTATTCTTGCCAAAATAAATCAAATCTGAATCTGATCAAGCCTCTGGCTCCAATTATCAACATGCAAGAAGTATAGAGGGCAGAGAAGTACGTTACGGGGATATAACCACCAACATTCTGATTATGGAAAGCCCTACAGAATGAACGACCCAGTTTCTTCAACAAATAAATCCCAAAGAAAAAGATGGAAAGACAAGCTCTTCTGGTTACCTAGTGCCACTCTGACAAAAAATATACCACAAATGGGATGGTCTTAACAAACAGGAGTTTATTCTTACAAGTTCAAAGTGCCAGGCTCTAGGCTGGGTGAAAGCCCCTCATCCTTGGGGTCCAGCTCTGCCTCCTGCTCCCGGCCCACTGGAGCTAGAGGCATCTCTTCACTCAGCTGCTGGCTGCTGAGGCTGAGAAGCCCCAAGGTTGACAAGTAAAAAGGCACAGTCCCGATGTTACCAAACCACACGGCAAGCCATTAACTTAAGTCCATTGTAAGTCCCAAAGTCGGCAGAGCATAGCAGGCTGCCGAGCAACGACACGGCTACACGCAGGGTCTAAGCGTGCCATAGGTTAGAGAACATTCTCAAGGCTTCTCCTTATATACAGGAAGCAGACCACATACCCAAAGGCTACTCAGTTGCTCACAGTAGATTCCACCATGGAGCTGATTACCAGTCTCATCATGGGGAATACTACATCCAGCTGCCCAGCCACTCAACCAGGCCCAGCCAAGTTGACATACAAACATAACCATCACACAAGCCTAGTAAGTAACATTATCAAGAAATTGAAATGTATAACCTTATTTAGATCAAGATTCAAACACACTATAAAATAAACCAATGAACAAACATTTGGGAAAATCTAAATACTGATTGGATATCTTATGATATTAAAGAATAACTGTGAATTTATTGTTTGTTGTTATTTGCCATCGAGTCAGACCCGACTCAGAATTTATTAGAAGTGATAATAATGCTATGTTGTTGTTGTTATGTGCTGTCAAGTTGG